CTGATGATCTGAAATGGAACAGTTTCATCCCCAAACCATCCGCATCCCCAACCGTGGAAAAATTACCTTCCACGAAACAAGTCCCTGGTGCCAAAAAGGTTGAGGACCACTGCTTTAACAAATCTCTCCCTCTCACTTCCTTCCCCATAATTCCCATTTTAAAGGTGCAAATAGAGGCACAGAAATGGTAAGTACCTAATCCAAGTTTACACAGCTAGTAAATGTCACTGCTAGGAGTTAGGCTCCACAGTTCATGCAACTAACTACTACACCATGAAGATGAAAAAACTGAATCACTCTGGACTAGTCAAGTTTCTTAACCTTAATGTGCTTTAAATCTGCAGAATGGAGATTAGATCTCATTCTAAAAAGTACCATGCAGAATTCCATATCTAGTCGACACTCAGGCATTCTCAGATTCGATTCTCTTCTTGAGCAACCCCACAGGTTTATGTCAAGAAGTAATGTGTAGTTTTGCTAGGATACAAATGTCAATGACAAAAGCTGTGCAAGGCTGGCCTACCAAAATAGGACACTTGGCTGGTACAGGAGGGGAAAGCAGTGAGGAACCCAACATCGACACGAGCATGTAGCTTTATTTTCCTCATTTCTTGGTGCACATTAAAATTCCAGAAAAATGGTATGGTATAGTGGTATTCTCAAATTTGGAACTTGTAAAGGTTTTAAGATGCACCCCTAGACAAATGTCAAGGACCCACTTCATGTTCCTGGCTGACATCCTCTGATATAGTCACCTGAATTACACATTTTTCCATAATTAAGGAAAAGCAGATATTGTATGCATTTAAACATATTGTCTATATTTAAAGACTGATAATACACAGCATTGTTTATGAAGAGAACAAAATCATACAACTATATTGAGACAAGCTGCTATGGTAACTATTTCTCTGCTTAAAAAGAGAGGCAATTCCTTCTGTTACTGGAAGACTGTCTCAGCTTTTAATAGCAAGCATTATGTATTATTTTATATATTGGGCCTGGTTTTTGTCTTTTTTTTTTTTTTTTTTTTTTTTTGAGATGGAGTCTCGCTCTGCTGCCCAGGCTGGAGTGCAGTGGCCAGATCTCAGCTCACTGCAAGCTCCGCCTCCCGGGTTTACGCCATTCTCCTGCCTCAGCCTCCGGAGTAGCTACAGGCGCCCGCCGCGTCGCCCGGCTAGTTTGTTTTTTTTTTTTTTTTTGTATTTTTTTAGTAGAGGCGGGATTTCACCGTGGTAGCCAGGATGCTCTGGATCTCCTGACCTCGTGATCCACCCATCTCGGCCTCCCAAAGTGCTGGGATTACAGGCTTGAGCCACCGCGCCCGGCCGGTTTTTGTCTTATACTAGACAAGTTTCCATGTTACTTTACTTAATAGAATAAGTCATATTGAATATTTAATCATTAAATGGAAATTGTATTTGGTGATGCACCCTCAAAGACAAATTAAAAGTATGATTAAATATCTCACCCAGATTGTTAACAGATGATCATACATATCTTGAAACAACTGCATCACTCTGTAGTCAATAGTTTCAATTCAATTGTCTGTAAATGTTATTTATTTCCTGAAAAGTATTTTCTAGATTAAGAGGAAAGTTAACATATAAAACTCTGTGTTTTACACCAAGATAATTTTTTACCCACATTATTTTGTTACGTATCATTGGCAGATCCCTTCCTGCTTTCCCATACAGCGATGGATGTATTATAATAAAAAAAGATTTTCCTAATCAGTAGCAATAATTTCCAGATTTCCTGCAAACAGGAAAGATCATAAATTTTCTTATACTTTAACAATACTTCCCCAACTCCATTTAGCCACTTGCATGTTGCGCTGACTCAGAGAACTACAATTTCAGAATATAACAACAGCAATAATAATATCACTCATTAAGCTCTTGCTTAATATCAGTATTAGTTTGGTTCTAAGCACTTTGCATGGGACACCAAATTTACAAACTTAGCACAACTAAAGGAATCCAGAGATAGTATGCATTTGAAGATCTCATATTTGTTTATGAAAAAGAGATAATATTTAGCATTGATTTTAAGGGTTTCTCTTTTAGTCCTTACAACAATCCCATGAGCTTGCTGCTAATGTATAGATCAATTTCCATGTCCTATAAGTTTTCCCTGAATTGTTCGGATTAAGAAACCCAGTAATTCTCCCTCAGGTGTCATAGTTTATGAAATAAAATAAGCAATATGTGGAATGTAAATGTATTAATAAGATTCAAAAATAAGTGATTCATACCAAATAAAGACAGAAAGGTGGCTAGTGAAACACGTAATAAACATTCAACACTCCAAATCACAAATGCAAAAGACACCAACATTTCCTGTAATAATACATGAAAGCATCAGTTTTGCTTTTTGTTTTTGCAGTATCCCTGGCATTGTGAATTCATACTTTAGGTAAGCAATGACATTATGAATACTATATTTATACCTGAGGAAGCCTAGAACTTAAATATTTGCAAATACATCAGATGAACATACTGTTGCCAGCTGTTACTGCTATCTCATTTTCTTTATATAAGAAGATGGATGAGTGAATTATAGTAATAAAAAAGCAAGCATGCTTAAGTTAAAGGCTTTACTTATGATTTAGTTTGTCATAATACACTGGTGTACGAAAGGAAATCAAATTATTTAACTGACTAGATTTTCTATTCATACACAACTATTTCCAGTAAGCACTCCCATGAACTGTTTATATAGTATTAGAGGATATAATGAAAGAGCAATCAAACAAACTTCTTTATCACTGCACTTAATAAACACCTGAAGTTCCCTAATGTGATGAACTTTCAGTAATAAACAATTGACTGTATCCACATTTTTCTGAAATCTGATAGACTGTGTCACCTTACACTTAGCCTATAATGGCACTTAGTATTTCTTAAATCTTCTCCATGCTTCAATTAAAAAAAAAAAAATCAGTTCTATTTAACCTTGCGAGGATGCAAACTAGTGATAGAATGGATTTTCTACACTTGTAAGTACATAAAAAAGGACATTCTTAATTATTCCAGGTATGTGTTTTACTTCAATCATTCCTTATGCCCTATAAGTCCTGAGAGCAAGGCCCATTGAGCCAAGAAGATATTATTTGAAGTCTTTTGTACATAAGTAAATTGTTTTCGGTAGTCACATCCCAAAGGGCTTTGCAAAATTTCAGTTAGTCAGGTGAGCCAAGAGCAACTACTACTTTCTATAAGTTCCAATAAACTTTCTGGCCCTATGGAGGCATTTAGTTTATGAGGTATGCCTAAATACCCTAAGGAAATTGAAACTAGTAATTTCTTTATTTCGCTAGCATTGGTTCAGATCACTCATTATATTAATTCTAATAATTCTCCTTGGAGGCAGGTAAGTGGCAGCCTCATTAGTAATGCTGCCCAGGAAGGACAAGAGGCTCTGTGGCCTGCCCAGGGACTGACTGTCAGGCAGCTGGCATCCAACACCTGACCAGGGGCCCATCCATTGGTCCTGAACACACTAGCCACTGAAACCGCTCTTCATTGGCTTAAATGGGCTTGTTTATTTTCCACTTTTCTGTTTATTGAAGTAGAAGTGGAAACTGGCCTTCAAAGACCAGCCTATCAACATCTCCTTCCTTGGCTCGCCTGACCTTCAGGCAGTGCAGCTGCCTGAACTGAGTTAAAAATGGACTGTCAAGCTGGCTTTAATTTCTGCTGCTCTGCCTCCGAATGTCCTCCCACTGATCTGTTTATCCCACCCTCTATACCCCTCGGGTTGTTGTTTTTCTAAGAGTTTTATGCCAGGACAGCGAAACTGCCTTTCAAGGCTCTAACCTGCAAATCCTTCTACACATAATCCTAGAGGACCTGGGAGCCAACACTAGGATCTCTACTGTAGGAACAACCTTCTCCCTCCAGGCATCCCCTAACCCACCCCAAGCTGACTCTCTGAACAGATCATCTCCTACTGGCACACTAAAGCAAGACAACCGCGGCTTAGTAACTTTGGAAGAAAAAATTCAGGTTTGGCTTCTTGCTCATGGGTTGTGCGGGCATGTTGCCTCTTTCCAGGGCTCCTCTGCCCCTCTGTGTGTTCCTCTGCAGGACCGCAAGGAGGCCTCACAGGGATTATCTGCTGATCCCCAGCAGAATATAAAACTCTTTATCTTCATTCTCTGAAACCTCTTCAAGACATCCCAAACCCAAGATCCTCCCAACAGGGCTCTCCAGAAACTTCTGCCTCTGGAAACGACAATTGCTATCAATGATGCACGGATGGAGGAGTACCTAAGATCCTACTAATGGTTTTGTGTGTTTCTTGGCAAGCTCCCGCTCAATTCAAGCTGCCCGCGCTCTGGGGCAAGGTCTAATTAGAAGAGTGCCAGGCTCACCCTGCCTGCGGAGAAAACGCATTAGTCACAGATGTAAGGGCACGAAGGATGCCAGGGAGCAAGGGAGTGCATGGGGTCATTAAGGCCCTTCCTAAAATGCTAGGAGCCTTCGTTGCGGGAAAAGAAAACTAGATGTGACCGCGTGCAGCAGAGGAGGATACAGAAACCCTGGGAGGCAGAGTAGAGTTGACTGGGTTAGAGGCCATAAATAAGTGCATAAATGATGCTCAGTGAACGTTGCAACAGATTTAAGCCAAGTGTTCAGGATGACACAGCAAAGCCTCAGGACAAGGAAATACACAGACCGCTTAAAGCTTCCCGCTGCTGCCTGGAGCAGCCTGAGTGTGAAAGCGCGGGTGCTCGGGGAGGGGTCGCACTGAAGAATCAGGTTCAGGCTTTGAAGAGTCGTGCGCCCAGAATTGAGGTCACAGTGGCCCGAGATCTACCCTGGAAACAACACGTGTCCGTACCACAGGCTTATTCGCAACTCCCTGCGACTAGGCTAGGGCTCCCTGGAAGTGTAGGGGTTGAAAGGGGACCAGACTCGGCAGGGGAGGGGCGGGGCGCCGGCCGGGGAGGGGCGGCGCAGGTGGGCGGGCCTGGGCAGGGTGGGGACTGGACGTATAAAGTTCTCGCTGCCCCGGAGGCTATGCTACTGCTAGGAGCCGGCGCAGGGTGGTCGGGGGGGTGAGCAGGGTGCCGCTGGCTGCTGGGGTCTGCAGGTCACCGAGTCCCCAGGAGAGGGGACTCCTAAGAAGGCACCTGCCTGTGTTTACCCGGCAGCGAGCGCGCCGGCCCCCGGGAACTCCCGGCAGGTGAGCGAAGCTGCGGCCTTGGTCGGGGCAGCAGGGTCGGGGGCCGTTCCGCTGGGCAGGTCGCTTCCAAGTTTTGCGAACTGTTGAGTTAGTTTCAGGTTGTTGCTGTAGTTGGCGGCCTTGCTCACAGGGCTTTGTCAACTTGAGTTGCAGAGGCCGGTTCCTCCCCTTTGGCAAAGGAGTTCCTCCGCTAGTTCGCTCCCGCGTCGCCGGGCATTTTAGGAGTCTCTGCACGACTCGCCTGCTTTTGCAAATCCGTCTCTTCTCGCCTCATTTTTTCCAGCGCACAGGAAAGGCCGTTGCGCCCCGCGAGGGAAACAGAGCCGTTGACCATGGTTGCAACTGGCAGTTTGAGCAGTAAGAACCCGGCCAGCATTTCAGAATTGCTGGACTGTGGCTATCACCCAGAGAGCCTGCTAAGTGGTGAGTGTCCCCGCTGCCCACCCTTCTCCTCTCCAAAGGTCGGTGCCTCTCGATCTACCGGGTGGGCGGGCTTTCGACTTCCTCCCCTACCTCTATGTAGGGGGTGCCACAAAATCCGTCTGAGGAGAATCCTTTCCAAATTTTCTAACATCTTCTCTTCATGCTAGAAACAAAAGTAGCAAAAGTAGAATACCCAAGGGCTACATCTTTCTAGGCTGGTGCCAGTAGGCTCTTGGGGATTAAGGTCCTTATCTTACATGATTGTGAAGAACACAGTTATGTGTGTTTTAGCAAATGTATTTACCCCTGTAATCAACATAACCCCTCCCCGTGAATTCTGACGCACCCATTTGCTAGGTATTTCTCACTCCCCCCTGACTCCAGGGAACTACTGATCTGATTTTTATCACTCCAAGTTAGTTTTGCCTTTAGGTAAGTGGAACCATAAAGTAGGTACTCTTTTGTGTCTGGTTTCTTTCCCGCAGCCTAATGTTTTTGAGATTCTTTTATGTGGTTGCTTAAATCAGTGTGTTCATGTTTATTACTGAGTAGGATTTTCAGTCTTGGATATACCCATTATTCCATTTTTAATGTGAGAAGGAAACTATTGAACAGCAGTGGTGCTTGATTTGCTATCATTTGCAATTTTAACAGCAGTTTCTAAGTGAACACACTGCTCTGCCACTAGAGCTGTAAGAGCATAGATAAACTGCTTAGGCTCTTCGTGTTTTCCTCCTTTCAAGGTGAAGTGGGTGATGACCTAATTTATAGGGCCAGAACTCCAAAATTACATGAAGTGGAGAGGAAAACCCAGTAGCTGATGAAGGTGAAGTAGGCTTAGGGAGAGGAGCCGGGAGGGCATCAGCCTGCACCTTGTTCATTTGACTCCCTGTAGCGTGGCAATCCTGCCAAGTGGCAGGATTCATTTGAGGAGTAGGTGACCAAATGCAGAGCTATCTCTTTTCCTTTCAGCCAATCTAATTTTATTTCCCTAGGACTATTTTGTTTTGCTTGGCTAAGAAAAACCACCCAACCGGTTATAAATATCCTCATGAACCTCAAAGGTCTTCTCTGCGCAATTTTTAATTAAAGAGGTTAAAGCTAAAATTGGGACCTACAGGCCACTCCAGTAAAGACTTAAAGACACAAATTTGATAGATCTTTAATGTAACTCTTCAAGCTCATGGACTTTAAACATAATAGCAAAAATTCTTTATTTTACAATACATGTATTCCTACAGTTAGAAAGTAATAACCCCTTAGTCCAAATAACAAAGTTTTAACTTTTTATCCCAGAAGTAATAAATGTTTTCTGTAAAACAAAATTAGAAAACCCCCATAAGCAAGTAGGCAAGAAAGAAAAGAAAATCACCAATAATCTGGGATAATCCCAAGTAGATTTTTGATGCATAGTCTTTATGATTGTGTGTGTTCTGTGTACACACATGAATTTAAAGAAAAGTGGTTATATCCTATCCACTCTATTTATCTAAACCTTTATTTCATACATGAACTTTCATGAGAGCTTAAATTATTCGCTATATTACATGGTAGATAGAGGTAACCAATGTTGATATCTTGGTGTGTTTTTTCTACTGTGAATTTTTTTTTTCTTTATCTAAAAAGAAAACTCCATTTCTTACAGATTTTGACTACTGGGATTATGTTGTTCCTGAACCCAACCTCAACGAGGTAATATTTGAGGAATCAACTTGCCAGAATTTGGTTAAAATGCTGGAGAACTGTCTGTCCAAATCAAAGCAAACTAAACTTGGTTGCTCAAAGGTCCTTGTCCCTGAGAAACTGACCCAGAGAATTGCTCAAGATGTCCTGCGGCTTTCCTCAACAGAGCCCTGTGGCTTGCGAGGTTGTGTTATGCACGTGAACTTGGAAATTGAAAATGTATGTAAAAAGCTGGATAGGATTGTGTGTGATTCTAGCGTGGTGCCTACTTTTGAGCTTACACTTGTGTTTAAGCAGGAGAACTGCTCATGGACTAGCTTCAGGGACTTTTTCTTTAGTAGGGGTCGCTTCTCATCTGGTTTCAGGAGAACTCTGATCCTCAGCTCAGGATTTCGACTTGTTAAGAAAAAACTTTATTCACTGATTGGAACAACAGTCATTGAAGGGTCCTAAAAAGGGAAAATATATAAAGCTTATTTCATGATTGGGTAGTAAAACTATTCAGCTAGTCAGCTAAAGTCATTTGTAGTTTGCCCCACCTGTCCTCAGTAAGAAACCCCAAATGTAGTCCATTTTCTTTCTGTATTTCACATTCTTAGTAACTGCAGCTAACAGGCTGATTTTCTGGCCTTTCGAGAAGTGATCCAAAATAGTGTACATTTTCTGCATATATCCCATTTTTGTACAGAATTGAATGGGATAGAATAGGTAAGCAAAAGTAGAAGTCCATTTGAGTTTTACATTTGATTCCACAATTTTGTTTCAGGTAGGCTTGGTAATAGACTATATAAACCAGATTTGCCTAGTTTGATTTTCATATGACTTTTTTTTCTGTAAGTTTTCAGGGTGATTCTTTAAATCACAGAATCTTACTCAATGATACTTAGCTGATCAAAACTTCCAGAAGCCCACACCACCAGTTCATGACTCAAATTTGAAGAGTTCTTAGACAGGAGGGTAGGATTAAGTAGGTGAGTTTAATTAAAACTTAACCCTAGGTAAGAGTGAATGAGAAATATTATGGCAATAATGGAACTGCTTCACTGTTTCTTGGTGACTTCCTCACTCTAATGTTTTAAAGAGGTGACGAAAGCTTGTGCTACCATTTCAGTAACCACGGTGTTGTTTTAGATGCCTTTAAAAGCTCAGTTTCCCTTGTTCTTAAGTGTTGAATATTGTCTTTAAACTAGAAAAATGCAAAACATTGAACTGATATTTTTGTGTGTAATTGATTACTCTTACACTGAGTGAATGATGAATACCTGTGAGGATAGGAAATTAGTTCTGAGATCTAGTCCCTCTCTGATTCACTTAGTAATCTATCTTCTTTTCAGTATTACATATGCTTAATCTCATATGAACGATTTCACCATGTCAGTATTATCTCATCTCTGGGCTTTTCTGGGAATTGAGGAATCTCTCCTTAACCCCAATTGTCAAGGGCAGTAGCTGTATACTACCACTTTGAATTATTGAAACGGGTCAATTTACAGAGTCTGCATTGGCCATGGAAATATGGTTTATAGTACAGCCTAGAGAGTGAAACTCACAGTCCAGATAACCATGCGCGCACCCAGATTTTTTCCACCTTGGATACCTGTCACTAGGGAATAATAAAGGCCTTACTTTTTGTCTTATTCCGACTAAGTAGATCATTATCTCTTTCCTTTTTTATGTTAATGAGAGAATTTAGCCTCTACTCAACAATGTTCAATTCAGCAAGGCTTTCATATCCTTGCTGTGGCTCATGGATAAGGAGCTTTATTCAGGTTTCCTGCCCTAGCTATTAGCTCCATTTCACATACTGGAACAGATGTAGGGGCAGATGTATTCATCCTGGTGTTACTGAAAAACAGGTGTGATCCTGTTACTGATACTATAAGTGACCTAAAATGTCACTGTTCAAATTAGCAAGTGTTCTAACAAACTAAACTCTTCAAATGCTTGGAAAGATACTACAAAGCCAATCTTTATAGAATTGGGCCAAGATAAATCAACGTCATTTTGCATGTCTGTTGTCAGGCTCCAAAGGTTCACTGTGTTTCTGCCGCTGTCCTGGAGTTGTCACCACTGACTGGGCAAGGCTTCTTGGGCATGGATGTAGAACTGTTGTCCTTTTTCCACTAACAGTTATCTTTGACTCTCTTGCCTGTTATGCTTACAAAATGGTGATGGCTTATGGAGGCTGTTAAATTAATATTCCTGTTAAAGGAAATTAAAATTTGTCTATTTTTTGACAATAAAGCATTATATATTTTTAATTATCTTGTCCTCTTTTTTTTCGTTCCCCTACTTGATGCAGTGGTCACAGGATCAGGGCTGCAATTACAAGGGCTGTAACTAGAGGTGGCTCATTCCTAATAAACCTTATATCAGAATTCCTTATGGGCCTGATAAAAGTGGGTTGTGCCTTCATCTCATTTGGCAAAATTGGGGTTAACAGTGAATGCAGCTGTTTTGCCTGGTAGTAAAAACAACCTACCAATTTGGGCCTGTGTAGCCTAACCCTATCTGAATATGAGTGGACTGAAAGGAGCACCAGCTAGACTGGCATTGCTGCCTTCCACCTAGATAGACAAGGTGGGCAAATGGAGGCAAACCTTCGCTTCCAAAGGTGGAAGATTTGGGGTATAAATGAAGAGAAGGAAGAATAGTCACTGAGGTTAAAGGAATTAATAAATGAATAATATAAGGAGGGGAATCCAATATTATCCCTTCAAAAGAGGATCAGAGCAAGTGATGATGATGTCTTCCAGCTCAACTATAACAGATAACAGATGCCTGAAAAGGTGAAGCTATGTTTGCAGAGACTACTTTTGAAATCAGACAAGATCGAATGGAAGCCTACAAACTTGAGTGACCTCATTCTAGGAGACATATTTATACTATACAACGGACATGATTAATTATAAATGATTCAGTGAGATTCTAGGAGTGCTGCGGTATCTTTTAAGTTGTATGTCCTTTTGATATAAGGAATCCTTATTGGAAGATTAGGATGGTCTTCAAATATATGTTGTAAAATATACATTTGGTCTTAGTCCCTATTTCTTGGTATAAAACTCTTGAACTACTTAGATTCTCCAAAGTGCTAAGTGTCTTTTGTAATGCTAATGTTGACTGATGGCTGGATTCCTCCAGGTAGCTTCAGGATGGGGCTTGGTCACCAGAAAGACCAAGGCTGTATTAGGTTGTTGAGACTTTTAGCCCCAACACACCCTCACATCCACCTGGAAGGAGAGAGGGTCTGAAGATTAAGCCAATGGCCAGTGATTTAACCAGTCTACATAATTCTACATAACAAAGCTTCCATAAAAATCTGAAAGGACTGAGTTCAAAACACCTTCTGGAGAAGTGAACACTTGGAGGTTCGTGGAGGATGGTGGGCCTGGGGAGAGCATAGAAACTCCTGCCCCTTCCCACATTTCTTGCCCTATGTATTTCTTCACAGGCACTCATCAGCATCTTTTCTATTAATCTTTATAATAAATCAGTAAACATAAGTGTTTCCCTGAGTTCTGTGAGCTGCTCTAGCAAATTAATCTAATCCCAGGAGGGAGTCATGGGAACCCTAATTTATAGCAGGTAGGTCAGAAGCACAGGTCAAGCAAACTGGGGCTTGAGATTGTCATTGGAAGTTGGGTGAGGGGGACACTCTTGGGGACTGAGCCCTTTACCTGTGGTATTTGAGGCTATCTCTAGGTAATGTCAGAATGGAGTTGCATTAGAGGATACCCAGCTGATGTCAGATGCAGAATTGATTGCTTGCCTGGTATGTCGGGAAAACCCACACATTTAGTCACACAAGGCTTCTGTGTTCATTTTTGAGTGAGAAGGTATAGGAGAAACCAAGTATGATTTTTTTTCCTTCAGTATTCTCAGAATGGGTAAAGGAGGTTGCTTTCAATAACCGGAGCAGTAACAACTTTTCACAGGAAATGAATAAGTTGAATGCATACACATTGAGCATAAAAATCAATTTCAGGTTGATTAAGGAATTAAATATGAAAGGGAAACTTAGAAGATGGAATTTTCATAATTTTGACATGGCGGGAAGAACTCTTAAATAAGATGTCAAGATGCCCTGAAACATGTCTTTTTCAAATAATCCTGTAAGGAAGATAAAATTGAAACTCAGGAACTGGAAGAAAGTGTTTTCAACACATATAACTGAAAAATGGTTTGTAACCAGAATACATCAAGAATTCTTGCAAAGCAATAAGAAAAACACAAACAACCCCCCAAAAAATATGTCATCAAAAGCCCAAATAGTCACTATATGGAAAAGGAAGCCAATCTGGCTGATAATTATATGAAAAGATCCTCAATCTAATTAGTAATCAGAGAAATTCAAGTTAAAAGCAATAATAAAATATCAATATAGACATCCACATTAGTAAAAATAAATTGATAATTCCAAAAGTTGGTGAGGACACAAGAAAAAAAAAATCAACAAGTCAGTATATGTATATGGCATTATTTTATAAAATTGAATGATAAGTATATTTTGTGAACCAAAATATCAAAGAGTGTTCTTCAAACTTTTTTTTTTTTTTTTTTTTTTTGAGAGAGAGAGAGTCTTGCTCTATCACACAGGCTGGAGCACAGTGGCGTGATCACAGCTCATTGTAGCCTCTATTTTCCAGGCTCAGGTGATCCTCCCGTCTGAGCCTGCCAAGTATCTGACACCACAGGCATGTGCCACCACACCCAGCCAATTTTTTTTTTTTTTTTGTAGAGACAGGGTCTCCCTATGTTGCCTAAGCTGGTTTTAAACTGCTGAGTTCAAGTTATCCTTCCACCTTGGCTTCCCAAAATCCTGGCACTACAGGTGTGAGCCACTGTGCCCTGCCTGTCAAATTTTTTAAATTGTCATTCAAATTATTTATCCTAAGTTTAAAAAGTTGCAAATGATGTAAAGTCCAGAATGTGACAAATACTGGCCTTTTAAAATAAAACTATTACATCATCTTTTAAATATTTCCAATGGAATGTAAGTAGCATAGTAATTTGACATTCAACATCTATTTAGAAAATATTATAAATAAGGTCTTCAACAGAATTAAACGTTTTCACTGTTACTTTTTCTTCATTCCTGTATCTTTTCAAAGTCTACATTTTATGCTGACTTTTCTTTAATGTAATATCTTTTAAACCTAAAAGTCTTTTATTATTTCTTCCCTGTAAAAAAATAAGATTATAAACTGAAATTAAATTTTTTCAAATTTTCTGTGACTGAGTCTTTAAATGTCAATTTTTGAGTCAGTTAACTTTGCAAATAGTAATAATATACAATGGCCAAAGTAACATGTTTTCCAAATTTTTGAATACTATTAAACACAATAATAATAATAAGCTACTTCTTAATGAGATGACTAATTAGTTAATTAATTCATGGTTTCATATTGGTTTTTTGCTAGAATTAAGAGTTTAGCATTATTTCTTTCCATTCTTCCTTCTCTCTCTCTTTCTCTCTCTGTCTCTCTCTATCTCTCTATCTATCTCTATCTCTCTCTCTCTCTCTGTGTGTCTCACCCTCTGGCCCAGACTGGAGTGCAGTGGCGCAATCCTAGCTCACTGCCGCCTCAAACTCCTGGGCTCAAGCTTTCCTCCGACATCAGCCTCCCAAGTAGCTAGGACTACAAGGGTGCACCGCCACATCCAGCTAACTTTTTAATCTTTTGTAGAGATAGGGTCTTGCTATGTCACCCCGGCTGATCTCAAACTTCTGACC